AGAGAGAGAGAGAGAGAGAGAGAGAGAGAGAGAGAGAGAATACAATAGGGGGGCCGGTAAGAGGGTGCGGGGTGAGGCTAAAAAACCAAAGGACCGTCTGGATACGGTTATCTGTCTCTATCTTAATTCCTCATAGATCTACTGCGTTTGCTGCTTCACATGGAAACAGTGGGTTTCGTTCTGTTTTGTTTTGTTTTGTTTTGTTGGGGTAATTTTCTTTTTTTTTAGGGGGGGGTTGCCATTTTGTTGTTCTTGGGGGGGCGGGGTTGTTTTAAATTTTTGGTATTGTTCGTAGGTATAATTTTAAAAGTTGATTTTCAACCACTAAGGGATCTTTAACTTGCACACGGGATCTGCAAGAAGTTTTTCCCTTATCCGAAAAGGCTTGAGGTTCGGTCTCTCCTACCCTAAGATCAGGGGTGTGGCTGAAAGACTGTAGTTAGAAGGGCCAAGGAGTAGAGGGAGAAATGCTGCAGAAAGAGTCATGAGCCCAGAGGAGGGGGCAAAGGAGGGAAGAGGAGTGGAAGAAGCACACTTCAGAACAAGGCTAGAGAGTAGGAAAAGAATAAAAGGAGAACATTTTAGGGGAGAAAATTTTCCACCGCTGTCAGGTTTCGAACCCGGAACCAGTTGAATGAGGGGCTAACACTTTAACCTCTACACCACGAGAGCCCCCATTGATCAGTGGGGAAGTAGAAAGTAATGCAGACAAGTAAACTTGGGAAATAAACGCAGCGACTCAGATTACTTGATACACACAATCGTCACATTAACATTTCCCTGTGTGGAATGTAGAGATAGAATCTAACAATACGTCACAATTATAGTAACCCCTGTGTTAAACTCCGCTCGACCTTGTCTTGTAATATCATTTTGAGACCTGAGATGGATCAATCAACAGACCAAAAAGGTTACAAGAAACAGTTGGAGGCTGTTGTAAAAATACAAAGAAATAATCGAAGGTCTTACAGTCGGTTGCATTGCATTGTTATCCTCTGTGTGAGTGTGTGTGTGTGTGGGGGGGGGGGGGGGTAAATAATATATTAGAAAGCTTGCAAAACGTGACATGTTGCACACTATTGGGTGTTAAAATAGCTTTTTAGTTTTTGAGTTTAAAAACAACAACAACTAATGCTTACTCTTAAGAATTTCTCTCAAATTGTTGTGGGATTTTTTTTTACATTTGCTTTTTATCTGCACTCCAGGAACAAGCAGATAGAATAGAGTTCTCATTTTAGTTTTTATCTGACAAAAAGAATCCCTTCAGTGTGTTTATGGTGTCGGTAACCTAGAGGTTAGGCTCTCGGACTCGCAACTATAAGGTCGTGGGTTCGAATCCCATCAGGGGCCCGACGTTGTTTCCTTGGGAAAAGCAATTTACATGAATTTTCCTCACTCCACTCAGGTGGGAATGGGTGACATATCTACCAACTTTCGCACGTGGCCACCTTAACATCCCTGATTGTGGGTCACAAATGCGTTTGTTACAAACAAGGGAAATGCTGTTGTTTATCATGGTGTTTCAGTATGAGTTTTTAATCCACTTTCAAACACAATTGCGTCCTATGAGTGCGGAAAAATAATTAGAGGTGTTACGAGAGAATTAGAAAGATACAAAAAAGAGGATGGAACAGGACGATAGCTGTTCGATAGGAAAGAAGGAACAAATCACACCAGAGCACCCACCAACCACCTACCGAAATTCTACGCATGGCTTACATCAGAAAGGACATAAAAAAGCATATGTGAGGCAGCATGGTGAAATCAGGCACTCATCAAAATAATGAATGTCAAGAAATTGGCATTTCCCCGCAGGTTTTGAATTTTTTATCGAATTGTTTTTTTTTTGGGGGGGGGGGGTTGTTCAACAACTTTTATGCACATGAAAGAGCACATTTCTCTGTGGATTTTACTGAAAAACGGTTGATTAAAGGCAGAAGAAATGTACATTTCCAGTTTCCACGGACTGTAAAGCTGAAGAAATAACTCAACATTGGCGGCCATTTTCTGACTAATTATACCTCTGAAATCCGATTACCCTCACCTCCTTCAATCACACATACCTCGACTTCTATTCAATATAGATGGATATTATTTTCACCCTACGCCCAAAAATTGACGAGAGCCTCATTCCACCGCGTCGTGCCACATATTATTTTTCCAAAGTGCAATGCACGACAAACACAGATGTCGTGGCATGTTGACAGAGACCAGCAGCTTAAGACAGAAGAAACGTTGTATGCAAATAGAAGGGCTCTCGTGGCCTAGAGGTTTAGGTGTTCACCTCTCATTCAAAGGTCCCGGGTTTGAATCCGGGTAGCGACTGAAAAATTTTCTTCTCTAAAATTGTCTCCTTTCACCTCCTTTCCTGCTCTCTAGCAATGTTCTACCGTCTGCTTTCGTCTCCACTTTCTGCCCAGACCCCTTCTCCTCCTTTGCCTCCTCCTCTGGGCTCCTGACTTTTTCTGCAGCCTTTCTACTGCTTCTCCTTAGCTCCTTCTTACTGCTGTCTTTCAGCAACACCCCTGATTTTCTTGTAGGAAAGATCTAAACCTAGCCTTCTCGGACTAGGGCAAAAAGTCTAGGAGGTTCCATTTGCAGGTTGAGCACGTTAAAGATCCCTTGGTGGTCTAAAAT